TGGTCCTAGACACTAAATTGGTCAACTCTCAAAAGTTAAACACAAGTCTCACTCACTTGACACAAATGTCCCTTGTAACAAAACAATTGCTTGACACTAAAATTATATTGCTTTCTAAATCTCAACTAACGATTAGACCTTTCATTATTATTTTTATCATTTGCTCATATTTTGAATTATGTTTTACCTATTTTATTTTATTATTTACTTTATTTTAAATTAAAATTTTATTTTTTTTATCCAAAAAGCTCAAAACTTTAGCCTTAAAAACATGATGTTACACGTTTGCAATAAGTTATGTTATAAATCCATTAACGAGTTCAATCAAGTGAAGACTTAACAAAAATAGTATTCGAACGAGTAAATGAAAGACGATCATGTTTGTCAACTTGACAATCATGGGATAGCATATTCGACAAAGTTTTATTACACGAAAGAAACTTACAAGAAAGAAAATTATATAGCAATTCTGCCATGTGGTAGGACCAAAAGAATTCTTGAGTCAATTGATGGAATAAAGGTCCTTTGCACCATCACATCGAAAAAGAGTGTTGTCCAAAAATCCTTCAAAGAGAAACCAATTTCATTAAATCATTTACGCATTTCTTATCAAGAGTGAATTGATATAAAAAAAAAAAAAAAATCAAATAAGATCCTTTATGATATTAGGGGTGACTACAACATTATGAATGTGTAAAGTATAACAGGGAGGGTTGGCAAAGTAGCGAGAGATATATGGGACGGTGGAGTACTCTAATATTCCCAAAATAAATATTTTATATATATATATATATATATATATATATATATATATATATATATATATATATATATATATATATATATATATATATATATATATATATATATAAATTTTACTTGTAAATAAGTTTTATATTATTATACCCTCAACTAAAAATATTATACCTTGTTTTTAATGTTTGAAATAGGATAACTGCATCAAATATTTTTTCCCAGTTGCTAAAACAAGTGGAGAAAATAAGTTGCAAAATAACATAGATGGTCAAGTTTTAAATGATTGTTTAGTCACTTTTATAGAAGGGTGTGTTTCTACAAATTTTTGATATTGATCGATTTCTAGACATGACGACTAAGTGATTCAATTGTAACTTTTGCTTAATTCTTTTTTTTTTCGATTTAGGACTTTAAATACTAAGAAACTCTTATATTTCCTATTTTAAATTTTGAAAATATTTGTACCTCGTATTAAAATTCTTGGCTCCGTTGGCAAACTACTATTATGAACCGTCACCAACGAGTAACGATTGAATAGCACATTTTTCAAATATAGTTTTAAGATTACCGGTATCTGGCATGAGATGTGTAGAGGCGCTCAAAGTTGGATGAAGATTGGGGAGTCATAGTATGTATAACATGAGGAAGATAATTTATTCTTAAACCGATAGACTGTATCAAGTTTTAGGTCAATCGAACCGAATTTTTTGACTTTTTCGATTTGGTTAACAGAACCACTAAAATCTCCAGGTTCGTGGTTCGGTTACGATTCACACTTTTTACATGGATAGTTAACCAAACAACCAAAATTTTAATTTTTTCTTTTTAGGAAAATAAACTTAGTTTAAATATAAGATACAATATACATTTAATAATTATCATCAAATAACATGTCATTTTTCATTATTATTGTTTTCATTATCATTAAACATATTGAGTTAATGCCTATTCTTAACTTATGTATTACAGTCATCAAGCATTTAGATTTATATAAATGACTTCACTTCGGTTAACCATCCATGAACACCCCTAACATTCTTATTATCATGGAAAAGAATTTCGACACCCATTGCAACCTTTTCTCTTTGACACTTTTCTTGAGAATTGTTTGCAGAAATGAGTTGCGGATCTCATTATCAAATTGAGTTGCCCTAGCATCCTTATTAGGCTGAGGGAGGAGATAGGATTGTTGATAGTCGTATTTTATCTCAATTATATATATTGTACAATGTATGGGCCATTCCCTAGAAAACAAAAGTACAACATTGAGTAAATCATAGTGCATACAAGTTTATTAATAATGAATCTTAATGGCTACACATTTAACGGAGATAGAAATTAGAAACCAAAAGAGTAAAAGTGGTTAATTGTTGTCTTATATCCTTATTTTTTGCACTTTCTGTTAAATTTTGTGTTTATAACGAACAAAATATATATATAAACAAATTACTTTTAATAAAGGAACATAGATAAAAATAAAAAAATAATAATAATAATTAAAAAAAAAAAAAAAAATTTTAAAAAATACAAGGATCAACATTATTGGGCTAGAAATTGAGGAAGAGATGCACAACATTATTTAAGAAATGGTGAACCTCTAAGGATTCATCTACTGATTATGTTGAGCAACAAAGTTCAATTGTAGTGAAGAACATAAAGCAATATCAATAATAAGCCTAACAAACATAAAAGCATTCAAACAAAAAACGAGCAAAAGGTAATGCAAAATCAATAGATTTGCTAATAAAAAAAGCTAAACATCCAAGAAACCATCACATAGTTTTTATTTACAGATATCACCCACATAGCATAACACTAATTCCCAAAATAACAATTCTATATCAACCTATAAAAAACAATTTTTCACCTTTTCCCCAAAACATTTCTGCTCAATTTATCTTAGCCCTTTGAAAAGTTCATGTGCTACACATATTTGAAATTCAATATCAGTATCAGTAACAATAACAATAACAGTATAAATAATTTAATCTTAAGCTAAAAGTTAAAAGAACTTTACCTCAGCCATGAACTTTTTAAGAATGTCATCAAACTACAACATGCACATTTATAAAGATTAGAAATAAAAAATTAATAAATAATCTTTATTGGAGATTTTTTTAGGTATAAGAAATCTAAATATGTGATGTTAGTATCTTCCTACCATCATCTTTTCAACAGTGGATCCAGTTTACTTTTTTAGATTCAACTGTCTGAGTGTCAATTTCAGGTTCACCCTTCACCAAAAACCTCCACCATTCCATTTGATCCTGTTTTGTTAAAAAAAAAAATTGAGACTGATTTTTGATCCTTTGTGAAAGAAACAAAAAGATGAGTAATTTGAACAAAAAAAAATCAAGATCTTACACATTTGCAATAACTTAGGTTATAAATCCATTAATGATTTCAATGAAGAGAGGACTTGACAAAAATAGTATTGGAACGAGTAAATGAAAGATGATCATATTTGTCAACTTGACAATCATGGGATAGCATATTCGACAAAGTTTTATTATACTAAAGAAAATTATATAGCAATACTACCATGTGGTTGGACCAAAAGAAATAATAAGTGCAACACGAAAAGTCTTGAGTGATTTTACGGAATAAAGGTCATTTGCACTGTCACATTAAATAAGAGTGTGGCGGGTCCAAAAATCCTTCAAAGAGAAACCAATTTCATTGAATCATTTATGCATTTCTTATCAAGAGTGAATTGATATAAAAATTTAAAAAAAAAAAAAAAAAAAAAAAAAAAAAAAAAAAAAAAAAAAAAAAATCAAATAAGATCCTTTATGATATTAGGGGTCACTACAACATTATGAATGTGTAAAGTATGATAGGGGTTAGAAAACAACTATTATGAACAATCACCAACAAGGATAGATGGAATAATACGCTTTTCAAATATAGTTTTAAGATGAACCACTCACAGCTTGATGAAGCTTGGAGAGTCGGTAGTATGAAAAACATGAGGAAGATAATTAGCTTTGCTCCGGGTTTGTTGTGTTTAGAGCCGGAGAAGCTCAAGGAGACCTAAAAATAAAAATAAAAATAAAAATGATGTTTATTGCGAGTGGCTTATGGGTTGTTGGTGAGTTACATCATGTATGTGATGATATTATTTTCTAGTATGGGTTCTTTCATGTCAGCAAAATCGAAATGAACTTTGAGTCGTTAACAACAATTGGTAATCGAAAGCTCATTGATCTCGATGTCGGATCTCATTATCAAGTTGCGTAGCCCTAGCATAGTAGCATCTTTTAGGGATGTTCAAAACATCTAAAACCTACAAACTGATAAATTGTATCAAGTTTTAGGTTGATCGAACCGGATTTTTTGACTTTCTTCGGTTTGGCTAACAGAACCGCTAAAATCTCTAATTTTTTGGTTCGATTACGGTTCACGTTTTTTTACATCGGATGGTTAACAGAAAAACCGGAATTTGAATTTGTTCTTTTTAGGAGAATGAAGTTAATTTAAGATTATTATTAATTATAAGATACAATTTTCATAATAATTATTATCAATTAACACTGACCAGTTTAGTGAATAATTCTCCTTTTTTGATTATTATTGTTATCATCATTAAAAATGTTTGAGTTAATGCTTATCCTTAACTTATGTATTACTGCCATCAAGTATTTAGATTTATAATGAAAAACAATTATATTATCTTATCTCATATTATGTTTATTATTAAAAGAGCCTTAAACGATTGTCCAAATCTATATGTCGATTATAAATATCATTACCATATAGTATTAGTATATATCAAATTTAAGAAATCGCAATTATTAATATAATGAAGACAAAACTTCAAAAATGGTTGTTGTGGTTTCTGAAAATATCAAATTTAGTCCTTAAGTTCAAAAAACCTCACAGATGGTCCTTGTGGTTTCAAAACTTTTAACAAATAGTCATTCCGCCTAACTCCGTCAGCTTTCTACCGTTAAGTGAGGGGTATTTTCGTCATTTCAATACACAGGGACCATTTATGAGGTTTTCTCTATTTAAATATATATATATATATATATATATATATATATATAATTATTTAATTAAAGGCCCCACCCTCTCTCTCTCTCTCTCTCTCTCTCTCTCTCTCTCTCTCTCTCTCACACACAGTGAACATAATACCAGTTAACCCTATTACCGGAGAGGGTATTCCAAGACTTGTTACTCTAATCCCTGGTAATGGGATCGGCCCTTTGGTGACCGGCGCCGTTGAACAGGTCTTCGAGGCAATGCGTGCGCCGGTTACCTTCGAGAAATTTGAAGTTCATGGCGACATGAATATGATACCCGATGATGTTATGGCTTCGATTAAGAAGAATAGAGTTTGTTTGAAGGGCGAATTAATTACGCCGGTGGGCGAAGGGGTTAATTTGTTGAATCCTATGTTGAGGAAAGAACTGGATTTGTATGTCTCGCTTGTGAGCTGTTTTAATTTGCGTGGGTTGCCTTCTAGGCATGAAAACGTCGATATCGTGGTGATCAGGGAGAACACGGAGGGGGAGTATTCGGGTTTAGAGCATGAGGTTGATCCTGGTGTCGTTGAAAGTCTTAAGGTACATTTGGGTTTCTTAATTTCATTATCATCGCATGCTTGTTGTTCGATGAAATGCCTATGTGAAATTGGCTACTCTTGAACTGCAGTATATTAGTTTCTTTCTATTATGTCTGATTATGGTGTCATTTTAGGTGATAACAAAGTTCTGCTCTGAACGCATCTCAATAACAGAAAGACTGTAACAGTTGTTCATAAAGCAAACATCATGAAGCTTGCAGATGGTCTTTTCTTGGAATCTTGTAGGGAGATTGCTAAAAGATATCCCAACATCAAATACAACGAAATTATTGTTGATAATTGTTGCATGCAACTTGTTTCAAAGCCTGAGCAATTCGATGTCATGGTATGTTAATCTTATCTTCTTAATCTATCATACAGCATCATTTCCATTTTTTTACACATTCTTCCTTACTGAATCTTTCAGGTGACTCCTAACCTTTATGGTAACCTAGTTGCAAACATTGCAGCTGGAATTGCTGGTGGGACAGGTGTCATGCTAGGAGGTAAGTACTCTTGTTGCTATTTCTTGATTTTCTTCAATTGAGACCTAATTAATAACAACCATTATGATTGGAATTGTTGCATGAAATGTTGGAACTGAGTATGCAACCTTTGAGCAAGGTGCATCAGCTGGGAATGTTGGGAATGTTTAAGCGACGCCTGAAAGAAGAGAACGTAGGTCATCGAAAGCCATTATGAAGTCCTAATAATGAACCTTGTAGACTTCTTCGATCTCAACCTCTTTGGATCTGCAGAAATGATGGAGGTGGTGGAGTCGGTTTCGGGGTTACCCTAGGCGAAGGTTTTGATGATGAAAGGGGATAAGTCTTCTTTGTTTGATATGGCGGAAGATGAGTTCATCGACGAAGTGAATATCCAGTTTAAGATGGGTTCTTTTGAGAGAGAGAGAGAGAGAGAGAGAGAGAGAGAGAGAGAGGGTGGTGCCTTTAATTAAATAATTAAATTTTTTTTTCTTTTTTTTTTAAATAGAGAAAACCTTTTAAATGATCCATGTGTATTGAAATGACGAAAATACCTCTCACTTTACGGTAGAAACCTGATGGAGTTAAGCGGAAAGACCATTTGTTATAAGTTTTGAAACCACAGAAACCATTTGTATGGTTCTTTAAACTTAATGATTAAACTTGATTTTTACGGAAACCTAAACTTGATTTTTTTGATTGTTTCGGAAACCACAGAGACCATTTTTGAAGTTTTGTCTATAATGAAATATTATCCTTATTTTAAAATTTTGTTAAGTTTTTCCGTTATGACACATTTATTTATTAACGGTTCTGATAACTAAAACAAAAAAATAGAAAAAATAAGTTACAAAAAATCGGTTACATAGTACAATGTATGGGTCATACCCTAGAAAATAAAAGTACAACATTGACTAAAACACACAATGCTATATATATATATATATATATATATATATATATATATATATATATATATAAAATAAAAGTACAACATTGACTAAAACACACAATGCTATATATATATATATATATATATATATATATATATATATATATATATATATATATATATATATATAGTACAACGTAAGTCACTATGCCTATAGAATATACAGTGTATAATTGTTATATATCCTTATTTTTTGCACTTATTTTAAATTTTGTGTGTTTATAACCAACGGAATATATAAAATCAAAACGACTTTACTTAGAAAGCCTTCAAATTCTTGTATCAACAACCATATAAAGAAACGGTGAACCTCTAGCGATTCATCTACTGATTATGTTAAGCAACAAAGTTAAATTGTAGTGAAGAACATAAAACAATATCAATAATAAGTTTACCAAACATAAAAACGAGCAAAAGGTAATGCAAAATCAATAGATTTGTTAATCAAAAAAGCTAAACATCCAAGAAACCATCACATAGTTTTCTATTAACAGATATCACCCACATAGCATAACACTAATTCCCAAAATAAAAATTCTATATCAACCTTCAAAAAACAAATTTTCACCTTTTTCCCCAAAACATTTCTCCTCAATTTATCTTAGCCCTTGAAAAGTCCATCTCCGGGTGCTACATAGTATCAGTATTAGTAACAGTATCAGTAATAATTTAATCTCAAGCTAAAAGTTAAAACAACTTTACCTCAGCCATGAACTTTTTAAGAATGTCTTGCTTTTGCATCTCATCACTAGTTGGCAACCCCATCTGCTTCTGCCTCTGATCAAACTACAACATGCAGATTTATAAAGATTAGAAATAAAAAATTAATATATAATCTTTATTGGAGATTTTTTTAGCAAAAAGAATTCCTACCATCATCTTTTCAACAGTGGATCTTGTTTCAGGGTCCAGGTCAGCAAGTTTGCTGTTTTCAGGTTCAACTTTCTGAGTGTCAATTTCAGGTTCACCCTTCACCAAAAACTTCCACCATTCCATTTGATCCTGTTTTGTTAAAAGAATGGAGACTGATTTCTGATCCTCTGAAAAAAGACACAAAAAAAGATGAGTAATTTGAAAAAAAAAAAATGTTATAAAAATATACCACATTTTCAAATGTACATACCTAAGCTCCAGAAACAGTCATCAACTTTAACAGACTTGTACAAGTCCCCCTGTATTATATATATAAAAAAAAAAGGTTATTGATATCAACTTATCATATTATTAGAATAGAACTATAATTTCAACATGTTAGAAAGATAATCTAAATGCCACTAGCAGACTTACTTCAAGAATTGGAGGTTGACCCTTAAGTCCCACTTTCAAATGGTTCTTCTTTATTTCACATGAAATGAATCTTGACTTTGTTCCAGGAGGAACAGGGATGTTTATGGTTACTTCTTGCAAAGATTGGATCCAGGAATAGTTTTCCATGTCCAATCCGTTTCCTTTATTGGGAGCTGTTGGTAATTTAAGAACAAATTAGATGTTTTCTTGAAAAGAAAATAATAAAGACTCTATGAAAGTAACATGTATGATAACTTAATGAGTCATAGAAACAAGAATATGATAGATGTGATCAAACACATAAGCAATTAGATCAAGAACAAATCAAGAGGTTTAAAATTCTTAAGAAATTAAACCCCTTGTCCCAACTTCCAGAATACGTGATGATGATAATCACAAGATAAACTGATTATACATTACTAAAAGGCCTGATTTAAATAAGTATGCAACATGCTTATAACATAGCTTTCGGATCAATCTACACATAAACTATTCACTAAAGAACATATAATAGTCAAAGGAACAAATTTTATTAAGATTTGTTACGATTTTAGCAAGAAGATCAAGAACCTATTCGAATTGAATAGGTGTACGATATATGCTTTACTAATTTAGATAAGGCATTGAAATTGTAAGAGAGAAGGCGAATAAAGGATCGATTACAAACGATGAAACAATTAAGATAGCCAAAAGAAGTATATACCTCGCAATCCCTTCTTGTTATCATCTTTCGACTCCTTCTTATCCTCCGGTTCCTTGACGGAAACTGCGGGCTGCGCCGGTAACGACGATGAAGAATCCTCCTTAGCACGCTTGTTATCGTGCTTTACACTGGTAGCACCATTGCTGGCGGCGGATACAGCTTTCTCTTTCCTCTTCCTCTCATCAGCGTCGAGTTTCTCCTTCACCGTACGAACCAACCCGTTAACATCCTTAACTACGGAATCAGTCTTGAAGAGATCGGTTTCGCGAGCGACGAACTCGAATGCGGTCTGGAGAAAACGAAGGGGATCGGACGAATCAAGAACAGCATTAAAGGGCTTCTTCACAGACTCCGGTGTCTTAGTTTGCTTCTGATCATCCTCTTCGTAATCAGAGAGGATCGCCATTGTTTACTGCAGAGTAATTGAGGGAGCAAGGGATTGCTAGGGTTAGGGTTTGGGCTTGAGAGTGAAAAGTCGGGGTTTTTAAGAGAGAAAGAGGATGTGAATTGGAATGTAGAAACCTCTAGAAGTCATGTATTTATAATTTTGAAGTTACTATGCACTTCATATTACACCAATATTTTAGATTTTGATGTGGGACGTTTCTAGTGTTTGTTTCTTTTTTTTTTTTTTTAGTTGGGATAGGATTAATACACATAAAATTCATAAGTTCGTCTTAATTTGTACTTATCTCGTTTTTTTTTTCCTATTAATAATGGATATTCATTAAGAGTGTTAGGGTGCGTCTGTTTCATAGGATTCTTATGGAAAATAAAGGAATTGAAAACTAAAATCCAATCATCAACTTGTTTAGCTTAGATGAAAGGAATCAAATTTCCATAATCATCTTTCAATTTCCTATTTAATTGATTTCTAATTCTTTCCCTGAACATGAAAAATCTATATTCAATTCAATATCTCCTTTTTTTTTAAAGATCGATAGTTGCCTTCCTATTATTGTCTCTCATCGATCATATATTTCTATCTCTCAATCGGTACTGCAAAAGGATTCATCGACATCGACGATCGCTGTGAACGAGTGATATCATCGTATCTTACTTGAGATGAGTTAATATTCTATTTCTTTGTTGTATCCTTCATCTATGAAAATATGCTATTGTACTTCATCTCTTATCAGCAATCATCTTTATTGTATTCACGATCTTTGATGTATACTTCATCTATGAAGATATGTTACTGTATTTCTTTGTTGAACCTGTGAACCTGTCGAATTCTTCTATTGTACTTCATCTTTGTCTTCTTTTACATGAAGTATTAGCAATTATCTCTACAAGTATACATAACGGTTAATTTTGTGGTTCAGATTTATTGTTGGTAATGTGTAAAAACTACTTGTATAAGTATGCCCATCAAGTGTTTGTGTCTTTGCTTGTGTGGTGTTTTCTTTCTTTTACCTGCATAACTTTTTTTATTTTCAATACTTTTGTCATTTATGTTTGTTTTCTTTGAAAAAATGAGACAAAAATCCACCAAATGTGTTAAAAGCCATAATTAAAAACCACTATATTCACCAAAATAAGTTGATAGATTGTAATGAGTCGTGCTAATTACAAAATTACTTGCACCAACAAATTTCAACTATATCTCAAATTTGTTGACTATCCAATTCCACGACAATTTCAACTATTATGTTTTCAAAATATTAAATTTTCTTTTTAATAAACATAGAAAGAAGATAAGTCAAATAGTCGTTTACATTTTGGAATGAAGTTATGAATGCAATTACGTGGTTTTTTATCACGGTGTGCAAGCTACTACAAATATACAAGGGGGTAAACCACGTATCAAAAACATATCGTCGGATGTGGATCGGCAATCAATATTGCACAAATATGCTTACAAAAGTGACATCGCGTGTATATCAAATCTTAGGATGACCCAAAGATGTTTCACAAACTGACACAAAGTTATGTGACATACTTCACACCTTATGTGGGCTAGGAACAAGTAGACATGGATATTGATGCACAATTGGCCATATTTCTTCACATTATTGCACATAATGTGAAGAATCGGGTCATGATAGGTCGTTTCCAACGTTCTGGACAAACAATTAGCAAAATTGTTACGCGAGTTTGCAATGCGGTGATAAGGTCACATCCACATTTTCTTAAGAAACCCGAACATGTTACAGAAAACTCTCTAGATCAAAGATGGAAGTAGTTCAAGGTATATATACAACTTATAAATTATTTCAAGTAGTGCATAAATTGCTTGATACGACATATAACCATTTCTTTTCTTATATTGTGTAGAACTGTCTAGGAGCTTTAGATGGAACACATATAAAGTGCTTAGTACCACTTAAAGACAAGCCTAAATACAGGATGAGAAAAAATGATATTGCCACAAATGTCCTATGGGTGTGTTCACAAGATATGCAGTTTATCTATATTTTACCGGGATGGGAGGGATCAACTGCAGATGGTAGAGTGCTTCGAGATGCCCTACTTAGGCCACATGGGTTGAAGGTCCCAAGGTCGGGTATGTATAATAATTGTTATTTTAGATGTGTATTAGTTATTAATTATGCTAACTATACTATATCTAGCTTATTATTTAGTAGATGTTGGTTATACAAATGGTGAAGGTTTCTTAGCCCCGTATAAAGGTCAAAGATATCATTTGAATGATTAGTGTGCAGGAAACCAACCAACTACACCGAAGGAATTATTCAACATGAGAGATTTTTCTGCGAGAAATGTTATAGAAAGATGTTTTGGTATTTTGAAGGCGAGATGGGGAATTTTAAGGGACAACTCATATTGTCCTATTGGTCTAAAAAATAAGATCATAATGGCATGTTGTCTTCTTCATAATTATATAGGACAAGAAATGACAAGTGATTCATTGAGAACCACTTTGAACTAGACGAGGGAATCGGCGATGTCGGTGGAGGAGACGATAATAATATCACTTTTGTTGGTGTATCAACCGAGTAGACTACATTTAGAAACAACTTAGCGCAAACTATGTTTGATTCTTGGAATACTACACATTAATTATTTCTTTTTTGTTATGTTTGTCTATTACTTTGAAAGAATTTGTGCTACACTTTTTATTTTCAATAATGAATTATTTTATTTCTACTGGTTATATTTGTAATACACGTGGTTGGGTATTTTTTATTGTATGCATTGTTTCATCTAATTATTATGTTTATAACAATAGGTGTCATAGAAAAAATTAGAAACTATCACAAATGGACAATTATTGAAGATGCCAAGCTCGTGGAAGCATTGGTAAATATGGTGAACATGGGAGGATTTAAAGCGGATAATGGTTTTAAATCTGGATATTTACTGCATCTAGAAAACGCATTGAAGGAAAAAATTTCTAACTCTGACATATTGGGTAAACCCCACATTAAGTCAAGGATCAAAACCATGAAAAAAGATTGGTACGTTGTTTATGATATGGTGAATGGTACAAACACAAGTGGTTTTGGTTATGATAGCTCAACTCATTCTATAACAGCTAAACCATCAGTTTGGAATTCTTACATGCAGGTACAATATTAAAACTTTTATATATTTTGTTACTTCTTAACTATTTATGTTATTGTTTTTATGTGCTAACCTTTTATGATACAAAATAGGTTCATAAAAAGGAAGGAAAATGGAGAAATAAGATATTTCCTCGTTACAAGGATTTATGTATCATTTTTTGTAAGGATAGAGCACAAGGGAATAATGCCAATGATTTTCCCCAAATGGAAGAATATGCAAACAATGAAGAGCAATCTGAACAAATAGAAGATGGTATTGAAGAACAACCCACAAAAAATGAAGAATCTCCAAACACGACCTCAAATAAGAGAAAAAGAGTTGATGTTGTTATTAAATGAATAACTATTGCAGTTAACGTCCTTGGAGAAAAACTTGAAAAAGCAGGAAATAACATGAATCAAGCAATACTAGGAGAAACAGAAGTACAAAAAACAGATTCGATGGTGATTCCTGAAATTTCAAAAATGCAGTCTTTGAGTGCCTTTGATAGGTTCAAAGCAAGTAGGAAAATAATGTGTGATCCAGAAACCGTGTTAAGTTTTTGGAATTTGGAAGGAGAAGATCGGGAGGATTTTGTGAGGTTCATGTTGGAAGAGTGATATGATTATGTAGGTATCTAGACATTAATTCACATAGTGTGTGGTTAACTTCTTTTTTTTTTTTTAAATTTGGATTGGAAATAATGAATGGCATTTGTTGATTTATATTATAATATATAATCGTTTTATTTCAATTTTAAAAATGTTTTTTTGATTTAATAAAAAAATGACATATTACAAAATTCGTTTTCCAATTTCTTTGGAAAATCAACAAACCAAACAGAAAACAGATTTCATTCCATGTCAACCAAACGCATTTAAGTTTCTAGTACATTTAGATTTCAATTCCTCCAATTTTCAATACCTTCGATAAATTTCATTCCTTTTAAAAACATTATGCGAACCAAACGCAACCTTAGATGTTGCAAAGAGGCTAAGTGATATGGCCTATCATTATTAATGAGGTATGTACATGGAAGAAAATAAAATAAAATAAAATTAGTTGTTTATTTTCAGGTTGATTTTGATAAAGTTTTTGACTCTATAAATTAGAACATTTTAGTTTCGATTATAAGTCAAATAGGTTTCGGAGATAAATGAACTTTTGGATAAAGAGTTGTCTTTCTTTTTCTAGAGCTTCGGTGCTTATCAATGGCTCGGCTACAAAGGAGTTTTACATAACCAAATGTGTCCGTCAAAATGATCTGTTATCTCCATTCATTTTCATCATTGGCATGGAAGGTTTAAATGTTGCATGAAAACCGCTTGTCAAAAATATCCTTTTCAAGGTTTTCCTATCCCAGAGGTTGGATCTGAATTATCTCACTTATTTTACGCCGACGACACTTTATTTGTGGGTAATTGGGTGAGCCCGAATTTTGCTAACATAGCTTGCATTCTTAAAAAATTTCTTTGCATCTTCCGGGTTAAAAGTTAACTTCCATAAGTCAAAGGTGTGTTTGGTATCGGTGCTTCGAGCAATGAAGTCTCAAGTTGTGCTAGGATTCTTAGATGTGAAGTTGTTTCCTTTCCGTTCAAGTACTTAGGCGTCTTGGTTGGTGCGAATATGAATCTTAAAAGAAATTGGCAACCCATAATTGAAAGAGTTCATTCCAAGTTTTCTATGTGGAAAGCCAAAAATCTTTCTTTTGGTGTAACTCTTGTCAAGTCTGCACTCGGGAGCTTGCCTTTGTTTTTTCTCTCTTTTTAAAGCTCCAAATTCTATATTGAGAAACTTCGTAGGCGTTTCCATTGGGGTGGTAGTGCTGAAAAAAATAAAATTAATTGAGTTTCCTAGAAGGTGGTTACTGGGTTCAAGGGTCAAGGTGGGCTTGGAGTGGGATCGCCAGTGTCTCTCAATTGGGCTCTCCTTTCTAAGTGGCTTTGGAGGTTTAAAAATGAGCCTGATTCCCTTTGGAGGTTTAAAAATGAGCCTGGTTCCCTTTGGAGGTGTGTTATATGTGGTATTCACAACAATACAAGGAAACTTGTTGATTCATTAGGAAAAAAAACAACCTCGTTGGGGTATAGTATAACATTGTGAAGGTCATATCGACAATTGGAATTGATCTCCCTTCCATTTTTGAGTTTCAGGTCAAATCCGACAATAGTACTTTGTTTTGGCTTGGCAATTCGACGAGTTGTAGTAGTTTGGCTTCTCGACTCTACTCTCTTTTTCTCTGGACAAGAGGAAGACTTACTTTATTAAGGAAAGAATGGTCGGTAACAGGTTAATTGGGGCATGGAAGAGAACTCATAATAGCGATCTTTAGGTTGCGGAGTTAGAAAATTTGGTTGGTCTCACAAGTTCGAAATTTTGGTTGGTCTCACAAATTCAAAAGAGAGTTAGAAAATTTTGCGGAGTTCAATCTATAGGAGACCTCATTAAATTTTCAGTGGTTTGGGCAATTGCCCAAAAAAAACGAAAAATTATGTTGGCTATCATTTATGGTTATTTGTGGTGTGTCTAGAAAGCGAGTGTAACACCCCATTTTCGGCTTACAGTACAAACAACCAGTTACCTTAAATAGACTTTTTGATAGAGGAATATTTAGGATAAATAATTGTCGTGACAAAATTCGTAGTAGTCCTAAAAGCGAGAGCGTACATATAACGAACGCCTAAATCTTACTTCATATGAGGAAGTTATGATTTTTAGAAGTTTCAATGCAATAAGGTACGACAAAGAAACCGAAACAGAAAATTGGTCGATTGTTAGCTGAAACTGTTGGATTAGTGTATAAGTCCATAACTATATTTGGTATGTACTTGACCCGGTTGTTGCATGGTCCTTTTGGGTTGCCTTCACCAAAGCAACTTGACAGAATGATTTATGAAGAGAGAGGATATTATGATTTATTAATATACTATATGAATAATATATTAAAAGAGAAATCATATTAGTTAATTAATATTGATCAATAATTAATTAAGAAATTGATTTTGTGATTAAAAGAGATTGATTGAACTAAGGGGACTGGAATTGCAATTATAAGATAATTGAATTTTGGGTTGTGAATCTCTTAGATTATAGGGTGGACGATTTTAAGGTGGAAGCCCACTTAGAAATCGTCCAAGGCCTTATTTTGGAGGGTTCCATTGGACTGTTTAAGGCCTAAGCTATCCAATTAGGGTTTTGACTGAAACCTAGCAGCACACCTATATAAAGGACCCCATGGCTTCAGATTTCAGCTATCAGGAGAAACCCTAGAGTTCTAAGAGCCAAAATTAAGCCTCCATTCCCTCTCTTCTTAATCATCTTATTTCCTTGGTATTTGTAAGCCATTAGAGGTATTACAATTGTGATATTAAGCTCTTGAAGATTGAAGATTCTTGCTACTATCAAAAGGTAATCATCTAAACTTGTTTTAGTTATAGATTTCGATTTTTATAATATGCTAGATTAGGGTTTGCAAGCTTTGGATAAATTTGCATGTACAATAAAGAAACCTAGATTCAAAGCTTTAGGGTTTTGCATATGCACATAGGAATGTTCTTTTACTCAAAACTCATCAACGGTATCAGAGCCTTGCTTGGTTTCTATTGTATTTGATGCATTGTGTGTTTATTCATTGCTTGAAATCGTTTTTTATGCCTTCTGTCTGACAGACTTGTTGAGTCCCAAGATGAAATTGACGAGTCATATGAACTCGACGAGTCCAAATGGGGACTCGGCGAGTCGGGCTATCAGACAGATGGATTTTCGGGATTTTTGCTTATTTTGACTTGGGGTAGTTACCAAAAATGTTTTTAATTAATAAAATCCGATTTTTATTGATTTCAAGTGATTATATTTGTCAAAACAAAAAATATTTATCATTTAATTAGATAATTATTGCCTAATTTGATAAACCTTAATTATTTGAATTATTTGATCAATTATCTTGCATGAAATTGGATTAGGTCAAAATTAGATAATCACCAATTAATTGTTTAATTATATTATTTGAATTTTTATCTAGATAGTTTTGAAATGTTTCAAAACTTTCCCTCAAGTTTAGGAATTTAATTTTTTTTGATTAAAAGTTTAATTTTGAATAATTAAATTCCAAACCCTAGAATTTTACAAGTTTAAAATTCAACCCTTATACTATTATAATATTATAAGAATAATTATATATATATATATACACACACACACACACAACAAATGCTAGTCTTACCGTTAGTAGGCCTCATTCACGAAGCCGATCTATAAGGGGTATAAGGTTGCTGCCTATAAAATGACAGTTTAATGGGTGTCCACTCTAACTCACCGCTTCCTTAATTGGTGGAGGGTCGTTAGCCGAAAGGGTAGGATAGGGCAACTAATTCATCATTAAAAGTTTAATGATTAATAAAGTAATTAAATATTTTTATAAAATTCTTAATCTTAGTTACTTTATGAAAAATGTGAATTTGATGCTATTCCATGAAATTACACTGTGTACCCTTGCCAAGACGTTAGTGGAGCGTGTGTGGTTAACCGGAACACTAATGTGGGTCTAGCAAATGTGGCAAGGGTGACTCGATGTTTGTCATAGATCAATGGAGCGTATGTGGCTAACCGACACATTGATTAGGTGACTGTAACATTGGGGGCACCAAGTACATTTGCATGGTTATTTACACCTTGTTTGTGATCCTCGGTATCCCAGTCACAAAACTTGATGGGCATATCGAGATTTAAACATGTCATTGAAAAGTTGAATGAATCTCAAAGGATCTAGGAAATTTCAATACATTTAAAACTTAATTTTCTTTTGTTTTTCATGGTGGAAATTAGTGAATCATCATTCACTTACCTTCAAATTATTTGTTGTTTAAATTACGATATCCCTCTTCTAAATTGCAAATAATGTTGTTAGACCCTACCCCTAATTTCTCATTTGGGTGTTTAATTAGGGATTCTTATCTAATCAAACTTTGTCTCTTTTCTTTTTCAGATGTCTAACTCAAACAACAACAATGCTTCAGGCTCAACCTCTTCCGGCTCGTTCTCACTCATGAATTTGTGTAGGAGGGTGATTTTCGATGGGAACAATTTTAATGATTGGGTCCGCAATATTCGAATGGTTACCCGCTACTAGGACAAGGAGTATGTACTCGACAAAGAGCTGAAGGAGGTGAATGTCAGCACTGCTACTCCCGAGGAGATCGCTGCCTTTGAGGCCCACAAGCGAGATGCTATGAAAGTCCATTGCATCATGCTCGCGACTATGACTACAGAACTCCAAAATTCCTACGAGGACTACTATCTGTGACATCCCCATTTTCACGCCCAGAAAAGACCGATTTTGTTTATGCTTTTTAAAAATCAAAGTATCCCTTTTAAGAAAAACGTTGCGGAATTTGTTCCCAGAAAAACATGATAATTACATTATCAAGGCATTTCCGAAGAAATGTATTTTTATTCATTTTAAAACATTTGGGATGTCATCTTCAATACAGAAACATAAGCATAAACAGAACTTATATTCATTTTCATTATCACTAGTGATTCATATCTCCTTAATCTCTCGGTATAATGTGACTTCATATCAACACCTGAGATATAAATAAACTGAGTGGGCCAGGTTGGG